AGCCACTGGCACCTGGCTAACACCTACTAAAATATAAACCCCATTATAACAAAAGATTTTTTAGTGGGGCACCAGTGGCTCACACCTCTATTGCTAGCTACTCAGGAGGCTGAGATCTGAGGATCGCAGTTCAAAGCCCGCCCCTGGGCAGGAAAGTCCGTGAGACTTATCTCCAATTAACCACAGAAAAAGTCAGAAGTGGCACTGTGGCTCAAGTGGTAGAGTGCTAGCTTTGAGCAAGTAAGAGCTCGAGGACAGCACCCAAACCCAGAGTTCAAGCCCCAGGACCAGCAAAAAAAAGAAAAAGAAAAGTCTGTTTTGTGCACTGAGATATCCTTTGTGTTAAGACCAGTATCTGGCAGACAGCATGTTAATATTGCATAAACGTTTAAATGTAACATATTTGTTGACTGTGTGAATGCTTTAATGCATGAGTGACTACATTTTTTTATATATATATTTTTTTCTTTCTTTTGGTGATTTCTTACTATATCACCCAGGCTGGGCTTTGAACTCAAGATTATCATCTTAGTCTCCTTAGTAACTAGGATTACAGGTATTCACTACAGTATCCAGCTCTGGAATTTTCCCTTTATGGATTACTTTCCCTGTCTTTTGCTTATTTTTCTATTAAAGATGCTCAATGTTCTGGTTGATTTCATAGCTTTTTGTATTTTTTTTTGGTCGGTCGTGGGACTTGAACTCTGGGCCTGGGCGCTGTTCCTCAGCTCTTCAGCTCAAGCCGAGCACTCTACCACTTGAGCCACAGTGCCACTTCTGGTTTTCTGGTGGTTTTATTGGAGATAGGAGTCTCACGGTCTCTCCTGCCCGGGCTGGCTTTGAACCGCGATCCTCAGATCTCAGCCTCCTGAGTAGCTAGGATTACAGGCGTGATCCACCAGCGCCAGGCAGCTTTTTGTATTTTAAGTATATCATGTGTCATTCATGTTGGAAATTTGCTTCCTAGTCTTTCTTTGCTTTTCAATGTGTGTGTATATATGTGTTAAAAGTATTTACAGGCATTTTTTTTTTGGTGATGTATTACCTTTATCAGACTAGTTGACAAAGGAATACTTTCTTTTTTTTTTTTGGGTCCAGTCGTGGGGCCTGAACTCTGGGCCTGGGCGCTGTCCCTCAGCTCTTCAGCTCAAGGCTAGCGCTCTACCACTTGAACCACAGCACCACTAACAGCTTTTTTCTTTTTGCTTATGTGGTGCTGAGGAATCGAACCCAGGGCCTCATGCATGCAAGGCAAGCGCTCTACCACTGAGCCACCTTCCTAGCCCCGACAAAGGAATATTTTTATTTTTAAATGTTTTTAGTCTAAGGATGGGCTATGTCTAAAGTTTTTTCTTTTCTTTTTTATGATGTCAGAACTCAGGGCCTAGAACATGCTGGACAAGCTATCGCTAAGCTGTACTCTTCCCTCCCTCCATTTTTTTATATTTGTTTCTATTACTTGTCAATATATAGTACTTAAGAAATCTGAATATGAGCTAAACTTTTTAATCTATAATCACACTGAGGAAATGATTTCTTTCTCAATTGTTTGAGCAAGCCAGGTTAAAACTTTTTTTTATCTGGGGATGTAGCTCAGTGGTAGGATGCTTGTGGAGTTATTTTGATCCCTGGCACATCAATTTTTAAAAATGCTATATATATATATATATATATATGATATAGATACTTGTCTATGTGATATGTGTATGGGAGCTGGTGTCTCACTCCTGTAATTCTGTTCAGGAGGCTGAGATCTGAGGACTAAGGACTGATGTTTGAAGCTAGACTGGGCAGGAAAATCCACGAGACTCTTATCTTCAATTAACCAGCAGAAATTAACCAGAAGTGGAGGTAGGACTCAAGTGGTAGAGCACTAGTCTTGGGTGATAAACAGTAAGGGATAACATCCAGGCCCTGAATTCAAGCTCTGGTAATGGCACACATACATACAACATTGTAATAAAACCTCAGCTTTTCATTGGTCTAAAGGAAATGATCAGCTGTGCAGACTAATTAAAATGATAAATGTTTGTGTGTTTATAACATTTACCAACAGTTTACTAAGTTTTCGATATATATAACATAGAAATGAGAGCTTATAACTGGGTGCCAGTGGCTCATGCCTATAATCCTAGCTACTCAGGAGGCTGAGATCTGAGGATTGCGGTTCAAAGCTAGCCTGGGCAGGAAAGTCCATGAGACTCTCATCTCCAATAAACCACTCAGAAAACCAGAAGTGGTGCAGTGGCTCAAGAGGTAGAGCACTAGCCTTGAGCTGAAGAGCTGAGGGACAGTCCCCAGGCCCAAAGTTAAAGCCCCGTGACCGACAAAAAAAAAAAAAGAGCTTACTAGACTATAACTCTAAATCAAGTATCTCTTGTGGACAATTTTTGGTGACAGACTCCATTTCTAAATTCAATTTTGTGTTTAACAATAGCTCCTTTCAAAACTGAACTAAATGTCTAGTTGTTTAAGACAGTGGTTTGAATTTCCACAAATGCTAATTTCACAAGCCACATTTTAGGCCCATGCTTTTATTAAAATGCTGTAAGAGAAATATAGAAATTTGATTATTATGCTTCTTTTAGGAAGTAGAATGTCAATCCTACTTCCTACCACTTAAAAGTAGTGCCTCTACTTCATTATTTCCTTTTTTTTTGGTGCTAGGGATCAGATTCAGGGTGCTTTACCATTGAATTACAGTCCTGACCTTTCCTAATCATCCTTTTTTTTTTTTTTCTAATCATCTTTTTTTATAATGATTGATCTGATGATGTGCCGACAAGTACCAAAATTAGAACTCAAAAATAATATGAAAAATTATACTTAGGATGTGGTGGAAACACTTCAAATATATTTTTCCATTTCATATTTTTCCTCTAAGAATTCAAAATAATTTATTTTGGCTAAGCTGACTATAAAAAACAAGTTCTTTAGATTCTTTTACCTACACATTCTTAGATTGGCATATTGAATAAGGATTGTGTTAATGAAACCTAATCTCATTTCAATAAAGAAATAATAGAAGTAGGAAACATTTTTTCCTTTGTAATTGAACTATTCCCATACAAGCCACTAACAGGGATCAGGTTGGCCTGAGTGGAACAATAGAGACAGAATTCCTGGTTTCTAATCATTCAGTAGCTCTGTGGCTGGGATAAGCCTTTACTACAGCATATATAAAATAGGCTGGAACTGTAAGGCCCTGCTGGAACTGTGAATCATATTTTGCAAGCTAGATTTGTGTGTAAGCCTGAAGGAAGGCAGAGCAGGTTTGCCCCAATTCTTGTGTGTGTGTGTGTGTGTGTGTGTGTGTGTGTGTGTGTGTGTGTGTTAGGCAAGGTTTTGCTATATAGCCCAGGCTGGCCTCCAAGTTATGATCCTCCTAGCTCCCATATATGTGCTGAGATTGTAGGTGTACAGCACCACCTTGGGTTTACACATGAGTTAATTCTTTCCTTTTCCAGTCATCTTTGGTCCAGCTCTTCCTCTCACTATTTTGCAAATGAGCATGGCTGACTGCCAATGGAGCAATGAGCCCAGAAGCCCAGAAGATTTATAGGAAGACCTTTGGAGCAGTCCAGAGTAGTCCCAGTCTTGTCTTTTATTGCTACTCTCAGCTGCTGCTCTATGCATAAATCTGGCACAAAATAGTACTAACTACTTTTCAGAGTTGTTTTGAGGAAAACAACTTTAGGAGTTAAAACTTTCTCTTTTTTTAACCCTCTCTCATCCTTCTCCTCCCCCAATGAAATGTGTGCTGAATCTAGCATACCACAGTAGAGCTGAAACTTTCAGTCTGCTTTCAATCAATACCTGTGAAAGGAATTATTAGGATTTAAATCAACCCAGTCACACCAAGGTGCAAAAAGTGGCTTGAAGGAAAAAAATGACATTTTAAAAGAGGATAAGCTGACTGGAATAATTCTAGAAAAATGAAAACTTTTAATTGTTGACAAAGGAATACTTTTTTTTTTTTTGGGTCCAGTCGTGGGGCCTGAACTCTGGGGCTGGGCACTGTCCCTCAGCTTTTCAGCTCAAGGCCAGCCCTCTACCATTTGAGCTACAGCACCAGCTCCAGTTTTTTTTTTTTTTTTTTCTGCTTATGTGGTGCTAAGGAATCGAACCCAGGGCTTCATGCATGCAAGGCAAGCACTCTATCACTGAACTACCTTCCCAGCCCCAAACTTTTTTTTTTATGTGAGGAGGCAGAATTCCCTGATTCCTTATCCCCTACCATTTCACCACCCCTGAAAGTGATCTTGAGGAGCTGAAGGGAACATTTATAAAGCAGATTTAAGTTAATTAGTACTCTATTGTCCTGAGACTTTGGAACTAGCCCACTCTCCCCTGTATCAAATAGCCTCTAAAATCATAACCACCTTGGTCAGAATCTTTCAGGAATGAGCCTTCTCTAGAAAGAAGGATCTAATACAGGACCTCAAACTAATGACCAGAAAGGATGTTTTCGTTTGAATAAGAAACGCAATCCAGTTGTTATTCCTCCCCCTGTTCCTGCCTCTTATCTCTACTATCAGGAGGGGCGAGCTGCTGGGGCCCAGCAGAAATTGTTGCTACAGGGCGTACACGGGCCTGGGGGTTGCCAGGGCTCCGTCCTACCAGACCCCTGCTCCCGCCCTCCCCCAAACTTTAGCTAGAGCAGGCGAGTAGGGCGAAGAGAGGGAGGGTGGTCAAGTCGCGCAGGAATCTGCCATTTCCAGGAGGCTGGGAGGACACACGCAGCTCCGGCGTGCACAGTCATCCATCGACCGAACTTCCCGGGTTCTGCAGCTCTGCAGCCGGGAGCGCTCACCTGCGGCCACGTGGGAGGAGCCGGAACCCGGCCAGGAGGGGCGTGGCCTCTGCAGCCGGACGGGGCGTGGCTGTAAAGCATGAGGGCGTGGCCTTGGGAGCCTAAGAGGCGTGACCACAGGGTACGGGGTGTGGCCTCGGGAGCCGGGCGGGGGTGTGGTTGCCGGCGCACCGGGGCCGCGCAGCTCCTGGGAGCCGGGCGGGGAAACTTCGGGAGGAGCCGGGACGGCGGGTTGAGCGGCGGCCGCAGCTGCAGCAGGACGGCCCGCGGGCGGCTCGGGGCCGCTCGCCGGGAACCTCGCGGGGCGGCCGGGCGCCGCACCCCGTGCCTGTCTGGCTGCGCCCCGGGAAGGCCGCCGGCGCGCGACGGCACCAGCAGCATGAGCAGCGGCTACAGCAGCCTGGAGGAGGACGCCGAGGACTTCTTCTTCACCGCCAGGACCTCCTTCTTCAGGAGAGCGCCCCAGGGCAAGCCCCGCGCCGGCCAGCAAGTGAGTGGGCGGCGCGCCCCCGCTCCCGGGGTCCCGGTCCCTGGCTCCACGTGTCCGTGCGCGGCGCGCTGGGGATGCTCGCGGGGACAGCGGTGGCCGGGAAGGGGCTGCTTCTGCGCCTCGGGGTCGCGGGAACGAGCTCGGAGCCTGTTCCTGTGGACGCGGGGCGCCCGGGGCCTGGGAGGGCGGAGAACGGCGGAGGAAGCGCGGGGAGGCGGAGGGCCCGCCGCCGCCGCCGCCGCCTTGCGCGCCAGATGGCCTCCGCGGCTTCGCCCGGGGGCTCCAGCGGCTGGGAGCAGCTCCGAGAGCCGGGCGGCGTCCCGGGGCCACTGTCTCTGCTCTCCCTCCCCCCCCCCATCGCGTCCCTGCGGGGTCAGCGGTCCCCTGCCCGCCCTCCCTGCGAGGCCGCGGCCGTGTCTGGAGGGGCCGTGTGAGAGTCGGGGTGACCTGACACCCCGGCCTTCCCCTCCACCCTGCTCCGGGCACGCTGGCGGGGGAGGGGGACGGAGGTCCACGCGGGCCCCGATCGTAGTCACAGCTCACAGAAAGTACATAAGAGATCAATCTAGGTGGCCAGACCGAAGATCGTGGGTTCCCTGCAAAGCCACGAGTTTTGCCCACAGGCTCCCGAGGTTCGGGAGGTGACTAGCCGCCAGGGCCGAGCTTTAGGTCGGTTTCTTCCTTTTTTGGAGGAAGCATGCCGTGGGAAGCATGACTGGGGGGAAGATGGGAAGGGAACGTGTGCCAGTTTCCAGATCGTGAGTAGCCTTTTTTTTTTTTTAAACTTGAGAAGCCTTCCAAACGGGGCACTCTGGGTCGGACCTCTGAGGTTTGAACCCACGGCCTAATAGCCTGCGAGCCGCACCCGGGAGCCCGGCCAAGCCGGCCAAGCTCACAGCAGATGAGAGAGAGCTGTACTGGAACAAACTTGTTGCTTTTCAAACGCAGCAGGCGCTCACCAGACGTTTCTATCAGACAGTGCTGGAGGCTAGAAGTAGACAAACCGTTCAGGGAAGGGATGATGAGGGTTTTTTTTTGGGGGGGGGGAGAGACAGGGGGTCCGGTGAAGGGTGATGGGGAGAGAATCTGTCTTGGGTATCCTTGCCAAACCTTTTAAGCTTTCTAAGATTTGGAAGCTCTAGTCTTTTCCAGCCTCTTGAATTGCCAAAGGAGAGGGAGAGGATCGTTAACGGACAGGGGAGAAGTCAAGTTTCTTTACTCTTAGGTTTTACCTGGGAATGAAGTTCTGGGGCGGTGGTTGGCCCGTGTTTAATGTTTCTCAGACTTCAAGGTTGTACTCGAGTGATCTCTAATTAGTAGGGTGTACACTAATGGGGTGAATTGGAAGACAGAGAGGGCCTCCACACCCAATTCCTGGTGCGAGGACTTTACACCTTGCTTTTGTCTGTCTTACTAGGCCTCCCTTCTCTGTCCATTTTGCATTTTCTCTGAACACAAGTTTCTCTTCCCATTTGAAACGGGGAAACTAGCTTGTTGTGCTAGTTTGAAATCTGTTTCAGAGCTGCCTTGTAATTTCCAGAAACTGGCTAAGATTTGGATTTTCTGGGTGTGAGATTCTCTTTCACGAGAGCCAGAATAGCAGATAGGAATTTTATGAGGGCTTTAAAGGTCAAGACAGTCTTCCTAGACTTAGATACAAGTAGTGGTTTTGTGTTAATTTAGGTAATAGTCACACACACATACACACATAAACACACACACACACAAAATCAACATTTATATGCCTTTTGAAGTTGGTGCTGCAATCAGGACAGTTAGCAGTAGTTTCTGACTTGAAACCTAAATGTATACTTTCTGCTTGTACATTTCCCCTTCCAGCAATTACACATTGCAGATGTTGAGTTTAACTTACTGGGAATATCTGCCAGGTGAAAAAGGGTTCTAAAATCTGAATATTGGTGAGGGTTTGGTTTATTTAAAGAATTGAATGAAACTTCTAAGTTCCTGATAAGCTTTGTGAATAAGGAAGTAAAACTTATAAAGCAAAGTGTTCTAAAAAACATTTTTTTAAGGTAAGGTCAGATAAGCCTTCATTTATTGGGCTTATGATTGTAGGAATAAGGTAAACACTTCTGCTATATAGTGTGATAGAAACTCACCTTTTCTCTAGAAAGCCTGAAGGATTGGGTTTGTCATAGGACCTATAATAGTAATAATAGTAATTTTTTTTTGATGCTGTACCACCTGGTGGAAAAGCTAGGAAAATGTGGTTTTTAGAACCCCTGAAAATATCTAGAGAAAGCAAGACATTTATGGTGAATCAGGATAGAGATGAAGAATGTTCCTGGAAGTGAGAAATTTTCATTCTTACCAGGAAAGAGGACCTTCCCTATCTTCCTTTTATCCCTAATTGTAATAAAAAAAAACAAAAGCAAGAAAATGGTATAATTTTCTTTCTTATTTTTGTTGTTGTTATTGTTTTTTTGTCAATCGTGGGGCCTGAACTCTGGGCCTGGGCGCTGTCCCTCAGCTCTTCAGCTCAAGGCTAGTGCTCTACCACTTGAGCTACAGCACCACTTCCGGCTTTTTTCTTTTTGCTTATGTGGTGCCGAGGAATCAAACCCAGGGCCTCATGCATGCAAGGCAAGCGCTCTACCACTGAGCCACCTTCCCAGCCCTTCTTTCTTATTTTTGTACTCTGTTCTCTCTCTCTCTTTCTCTCTCTCTCTCTCTCTCAAAAAGCAGAGATTAAAGGACTAAAACTAGTGTGTAGGACAGAAGGAAACCAGCACTCAGCCTTCTTTTTTTTTTTTGGGGTCCGGTCATGGGGCCTGAACTCTGGGCCTTGGCGCTGTCCCTCAGCTCTTCAGCTCAAAGCTAGTGCTCTACCACTTGAGCCACAATGCCACTTCCGGCTTTTTTTCTTTTTGCTTATGTGGTGCTGAGGAATGGAACCCAGGGCCTCAGGCATGCAAGGCAAGCGGTCTACCACTGAGCCACCTTCCCAGCCCAAGCACTCAGCCTTCTTGAGGCAAAGTGTTATATATTATTGGTCTGTTCTCGGGGTCTGAACAGTGCCTGACTGACAGTTGTTGCTCAGTGAATACTGTGTTGAATGAATTAAGTGTTTTCCTAGCAAGATAATAATCAGATCTTTATAATTTTCAAACATATCTTGTCTCAGATTCTCTCCTCCCCATCTCTTTCTTTCCCTTGTTCTCTCCTCTTTCTCCTTCTCCTTCTCATCCCCCACCCCCTCTATGTCCCTCTCTCCTTCAGAGCGCAATGAGAAAGGAGGTTCTGTGTCTTAAGGGCTCACATTTTGATAACCAGGACAGCTGGAATTGGGGTTATCTGACTTAAATTCTACTTCCTTTTTTGTTACTTCTTGGCATTGTGATCATTTTAAAATTCTACTTATCCTTGCAGATATGAATGCCCTTAAAGTAGAAGTTTCCTAAAATGTCAGCTCTAGCTTGCACATATTGTTATTACAATGCTCATAATTCATGTGTCTGGATTCACTGTTTCAAAGGATCCACCTAATCATGGTTTTAAGCAGAACCCAAACACCGGCAGTTCTGTAATTTTCCACTTGCCTTTTCTGTTTTCTCAACAAAGTAAAATGACCTCTAAATGCAGGACACATTTCTATTTGCCTGCATAGCCTAAAACTATTAGTATAATTTGAGAGCATGTCTTATCTCTCAGCTCAAACAATCTCCTCTTCTCCTAAGCCTTTCATAGTTAATAGGAATAAGAACACTGCTTTTGATTTAGTGGTAGTCTAGACTAATCAAGAAACTTGAAATTATGTTCTGAATCACACACACTTTTTCAAAAGTTAAAAACACTAAAGAAGTGTTTAATAAGGCAGGCTGTGACACTCCATATAACAACCTTGTTTGTCATTTGGGATTTCTCCTTATTATTGTTGCATAGTTTTGTGGCCTTTTATTTGGTTGTTTTATTGCCAGAATCCACACTAATGAGTTGCAGTCTCTTATTAGTGTTTCTACCAGAGGTTTGGAAGTAGATCATTGGGGTGTGAATGAAGAATAGCAGTTTACAATGTTTGAGGTATCGTGGCCATAATTGCTATTGGTGTACATGTAAATACTTCTACAGTCCCTTTGATTGGTGCAAGGTGTTGCTTTGCACATCTTGCCTGCATGACTGATCTATTGCGTTCTTACACTCTTAATCCATTGGAATTTTGTGTTTGTGTGAGCAGGAGACTCAGAGTCATATTCCTTTACACAGAATTTCAAAGGGAAACGACACTCTTCTTCCAGCCTCCTCTGTGAGCAATATGCTCTATTATGTTTCTTCCTCTGGCTAACTTGCAAGATTCGGAATTATTTGGAAAGCAGTAACACAAAACATTTACAGAAAGAAAGGCTAAAAATATCCAATAATGCAGTTATTCTTTTTAGACTTCCTTTGGCAGTCAGTGCCTGTCATACTATGAACATTTTTTCTGTTTCCTGGTAGGGTCTGATCACCAGCTCTGAGTCCCTTGCTTTTCCCCACCTCCCCTGCATAAGTAACCACTTTTAGATATAAAGGCAATCCCCTGTGGGGGCTTTTGACTCCTAATTTATTGGCCTCATGCCATCAGCTAGTGATAGGGTCTCTCTGCAGTGAGGATAGTGAAAAAATGGTAGTGTATATGGTAGATCCATGCAGAGGCTCTTCTCTTATATGATGTATGAGACTAAGGCAGACTGCTATGCCCTTGATCCTGCAAAGAGCTGAATACACTGCCCAGTGAGAGCTCGTACTCTAATGCCTTAAGCACAGTGCTTATCATAAGATTCAGATGACTGTTCACTGGCTGATGGAATGGTTCTTCTGTACCTCCCTCCCCTCCCCGCCTCTCCCTCCCCCCCCCCCCCCCCATCCTGGGGCCTAGGTGCTGTCCCTGTGCCTCTTTGTACTCAAGTCTAAGCACTCTACCACTTGAGCCATAGGGCCCTTCCAGTTTTTCTGAGTAGTTTATTGGAGATAAGAGTTTCACAGACTTTATTGCCAGGGCT